ACGAACGGAGAGGAAACGAGAGAGAGAGAGAGAGAGAGAGAGAGGATATTATCTGTGGAAAGGGGAGAGAAAGAGGGAGGGGGGAAAAGAAGGAGAAGGAGAGGTAGATCGAGATGGCAGAAGGCTCTACTTTGCATTTATTCTAATGGGATAATACTCGGTGTCTTGCCACCTCGTTTGCTATAATAATTCCGCTCCGTGATACTTTCGATCATTCCAACTCGGGGTCGTTCAACAGGAAACGAATAATTGGAAATTGGAAAGAGAATAATGTAATAATTTCCCTTTTTTTTTTCTTCTTCTTCTTTCTCCCTTCCACTCGATGTGTATACCTGCGCATATACACGCGCAGACCCTAGGCGGCCAGTGTCATCGCGTGGGCGACACGCACGTAAGCCTGTCCATCTTTCCCTTTATAACGCCAGCCCGTGTTAACGCATCGACTATTAACTTAAGCGACGACCGTATGTCACTGTAATACCCCTACACGGGTCCAAAGCCCCATAAAGGATCACCGAAATCACGCTAAAAGGTTCCCAAGAATTAATCTTCCATTTTAAAACGTCCGTTACACGCTCCTCTCGTTTCCTTCGGAGGAGCCTTGATCCCCCTTCCCCCTCCCCTCTCTCCAAGGGAGAAGATTCGATCGTATTCTCGAAATTCTCGATGGTGGTATCCCGTGGCGTCCCTCCGTTTCAATCGATTGTAACTCGAACTAACGTGTCCCAGGAATCGTGTTCACGGTTAATTTTTGGATGTTACGTATGTCGGGTGAAACGAAAGGGGGAGGGGGGATCTCGATGCCTCCGCCTCCCGTCCCAATTGAGACCTCGATTTCGCCAATTAGAAGAGAAATGCTCGCATTACTTGGATCGACGGGGATCTTAACGAGTTTCACGAGCGGATTATTAAAAGCCGATAGCTCTCGGTCGAGCTGCACGCACGAAAGGTGTTCGAGATGTTGGATGGCGAGACGAGGCGAGAGCAGGGGAGGGGATTCAAAGAGAAAAGCAAGGCGTGGAGGGGCGGCGAAGTTTGTAATTATCTTGCCGGACGTGGTCGCGGTTGTACGTGAGCCGGTGCGATCGAGCAATTATGTCACAGTTCGGTATCGATATTACTTTTCAATTTGATCCCGATGCATCGACGATTCCGTGCTGCTCTCTTCTTTCCTTTCGCGCGTTTCGCGCTTTTTCCCCTCCTTTTTGCGCCAATGACGAACCTCCCGTTCGTCATTTTCTCCTCCTCGTTCGCGACGCCAATTAACGGGCAGGGACGTGCTGCACCGTGGACACCTATGATTAGCCGGTTAAGCCGGCGCGATGCGGATATTGAAATCGCACGTTGGTGTAATTGCGTAAAAAGGAGAGGGAAGCGGGAAGAGAGATCGAGCGAACTTGGCCTAAATTATCGCTCCTACTCAATTTATTATTTATGGAATATTAACGGCAAACGGGATTTGTTCTATTTTGTGCGCTGGAACGATCGTTTAGGATCCTACTCTTTCGTGACCTCGTCTTTCATTTTCCCAACGCTACAATTTTTATAACTATCCATACTTTCAGAAATTTCGTTTCCCTTTTTTTAAAAAATTTCGTATTTCATGATCATCGACTTGTAATCGTGTTTCATTCTTTTTTATTAATTCGATAAATTAAATTTTCGAAATTCAATTGATTCGTTCTACCTTGTGCGCTGGAACGATCGTTTAGGATCCTACTCCCTCGTGGTCTCGTCTTTCATTTCACCAACGCTAAGATGAACAATTTTTATAACTATCTATACTTTCAGAAATTTCGTTTCCTTTTTTTAAAAAATTT